CAGCCCATGGAAAGGGCGAGGAGAGTAAACTCTCTCATGTGCACGCGCCTATCTCGCAGTGAAGAGAATCGTACGCCTTGGGCTTTCCCTGGAACGATTCTTTCGTAGTTACTGGGCCCACAAAGGTCACTTTACTCAGTGCGCACTCTACATTTGCGAAAAGAGCGCGCTTTTCAGACCTAGTGCAGTAACGAGTGAAACACTTGTTTGCGTTTATCGGAACATATGAGTGTATACATTTTGTGCGTGATTTGTGCGTGAGCAACGTGGGGCACGTTTTGATCTGCTTGCTATTCTTCCCATTAAATGTCAATTTGACGCTATGGCAATCATTGCTTCGCCTTTGTGGCCAAGCTGTGACTTTTTTCCTCCCTCTATTCCTGTCTCTCGATCTACAATACCTTTCCTCACACAAAGTATCAAGCCAATAATTTTATACGCTGGCTAAATCCGCTGCTTTTCTATAAAGACTTCTCTCTCACTTTCGTACCGGATCGTAAGTGTTGAAATAGAATGAACTCTCCACAGGAGCAAACTTTATTTGGGAATCACAAAGGGCATGCATTTCTTGGTCGCTACCAAAGCTCTTCCAAACGAGTTATTTCTTTCCAGCGGCAGCATTATTATTGCGTGCTAAGCTGTGACCTTAGTGAAATCTTTTTTTATGAAGCAGATTATAGCGGAGTCATGAGGGCCCCTGGACGGCGCCTCAATCGAGCGTAAAAATTTCTTCCTCACGTTCCCCTGGGTATCGAGCATCGCTACACTCGCGCTCCTCGGGGCGAGTAAAAGTGCCGTGTCACCGCAGGCCGATTCCGCGCGGGCTATTACAGGCTCACTTTAGAGCTTGAAGGCACACTTGCCCTGCACTGTTTCTCTGTGGCTGTACACCGCCTTTACAGGTGCTGGGACCTACGACGCACGCCCAAGGCACGTGTCACAATCTATACTGCAAGTGGTATGCTAGCGCGCCTGTCTTTGAGGCAGGGAATGTATGCGCATAATGATGAGGGCACACGCCGCTTGCACTCTGTTGTTACTGAACGCGTTTTCGTGTTTTTCCCTCATCCGTGTACTCTATTCGTTACTGGCTAACTGACAAGCTGTCCGTAAGGGCTCAACAAAGCGTAAGCTTTTCTCCGCTCTTATCTCTGCCATTTTTTTTCTTGCGTTTGGAGTGTTCACAGCTTGTTTTGGATTGCCTCAATTTATATGTTTATTCTTTAAGTTTTTTTGAGTATGCTACTTCTTTGAACTCAAAAACGCCACCACTGTATCTTCGGGACATCTCAAGCAAAGCGTAGACAATGAATCGGAACAGCGCTTTACCGGATTCATTATATTCGGTAAATATCGCATCGGTCCTACGTGATTGCGTTTTTGCAGTATGCGCTTCAGAGATAAAACCGCACAAAAAACACGTAACAATAATAGGAAAATAAGAGCTCACAAAAAGCTTGCGTGCCAAAAGCAGTAGCGAATGATTGGACATAAATCATGAGATCTTTCTTTCCGTAAACAAAATTATGTTGCTTGCACAAAGTGCTCAGACGTGTTGACACTTTGCAGGTACCTTTATATACATTTTTGTGCAGTATATGACGCTTTCGCGCATCTTCACGCTATCATACTTACCCGACAAGGGCGCTAAACGCATTCAATGTGTTAAAGTGGCCGCTTTCTTGTGTCACCTTGAACAATTAGAAAGTGGACATCAAAATTCACATGCGAGGGCCATAACAGTTCGACATCTTCGTCGAACATAAATACGTTAGAGGCGAATCACCTCCTGGTCTAAGCCAGTCGGCGTATCCTGCTGTCACAGTATATCATGTCACCACGGTTCATCACAAACGGCGAGAAAGATGGCTGCGTCGAATACAGGGAGGAAGAACATTACTACCGCGGGAGGATTTGCGATGTCGTGCGTATAACATGAGTTCCGTCGCAAACTTATGCGAACAGGCTTTGCAACGTCTTCGTCTCATGATGTCACGGTCTGTCATTTAGTCATGGTGTCATGTGGTCACGGTTTTGTCATAATAATGGGTATGCACCGCAAAAATTTGGTAAATCACACTACTCTCCACTGGTGCAATAAAAATGAAGAAGGCAACAATTAGCCCTAAAAATAGCCTGCGACGTTGGTGCAGCTTAAACACCCTTCCCTACTGGCCATATATAGGAAACTGAAACCAGTAATGTAGGGAAGAATAATACTAAGAATCGCCTTAGGCTGCGCTGCATCCCGACGCAGTTTCCAGACAACGTTAGTGAAACGGAAACACCCTACTATATATATGCCCGGTTTCCGGCTTGGCATCACAGATGCCTTGTCAGAGAAATCTTTCTCGAAATACGCAAACTTCGCGCCTTCCCAGGTTTCACGTTAGCGGAGCTGAAACGCCCTTCCCTGAATACTTCGTGCCCCCCCCCCCCATTTTTTTTATTTATGAGTGGTGCTACGCGTGAATTTGAGCGAGCACTGGTGCTGCTTCAGTTGAAGCCAGAAAGCTACAAAAATTTGATGTAGTTGACGGAGTATAATTAACGAATTTAATATCGCCCCATGTGTCAATACATGTAAATTGTGTAACAAGTTGGCGATAGAGTGACCCTTCCATTCCAAAGTGGGTACAGCTGTGCGAGTGTAGTTGGTGCCTTACATACTCGTTGAGGGAGTTTCGCCAATTTGCGAAAGGAATAATTATGACGTAGTGTGGTCACTTCGCTACTTCACTTGCAGTAGTAATACGAGGCTGCTTTGAAACGGCAAATGTTAGGCGCACAGTCGAAGACGATGTCCACTGTTTCTAATTGCGCTATCGTGTTCTACTCTTTAAGGCGAAGCTCAAGTGTCCGCCATGTTTTTTTTTTTTAACGAATTCTGTGGACTTTGTTCTTTCACCCAAATGTTCAAAGACCCCTTTTAGTCAAAAAAGCAGGTGTATATTCACCAGAAGCCACGCACACAGTACAAATATAGTTTCTCGCTGCACGGCTCTGTGTTTTCATTGCGATACCAGTGCGACAGAAGTACTACTGGCCACAGCTGTATTCGTCCGTTCAGCGCTATGTCCGCACCTGCCGTGACTGTCAGAGGCGTAAAGTTCTACCCGCAAAGCCCGCCGGCTTCCTCCAACCTTTGGATCCACCTCGAGCACCGCTTCAGCAAGTGGGAATGGATCTTCTTGGTTCCTTTGCTACGTTATCCTCAGAAAATAAGTGGATAATCGTCGCAACCGACTATCTGACTCGCTATGCAGAAACCAAAGCTGTGTCTAAGAGAACTGCAGTTGAAGTCCCCAGATTCTTTGTCCACGACATTGTTTTGCGTCATGGTGCACCTGCTGTTCTCATAACCGATAGCGGAGCAGCATTTACGGCAATGTTATTGCAACAAGTCACCAAGCTGACGCACACCAACCAGCGGAAAACAACGGCTTATCATCCCCAAACGAATGGCTTGACGGAGAGGTTAAACAAAACACTGGCCGACATGCTACCTATGTATGTTGATGTAGAGCACAAAACGTGGGATGAAATTTTGCTGTACGTCACGTTTGCTTACAATACCGCTGTGCAAGAGACCACAGAGCTAACACCATTCGAGCTTGTTTATGGCCGTCGCGTCACAACACCGTTAGACGCTACGCTATGCTCCCCGTAGACCAGGACGCCAGCGGAAATCACAGCGTTGACGACTTGTCGAGAAAGCCGAGGGAGCCCGCCAGCTTGCACGGAACCCCATTCGCGCGCACCAAGATATCGACGCTCGCCGTTGCAACCAAGGCCGAAGGAGCGTCCACTATCAACCAGGTGACTACGTATGAGTGTGGACACCAGTTCGACATCGTGGGCTTTCGGAGAAGCTATTGCGACGCTACTTTGGCCCTTACGAAGTTGTGCGCTGCCTCAGTGACGTGAATTACGAGGTAGTTCCCCAAAGCTCCGACACCAGTTTAAACCGAAGACGTCCACGTCCAGAAGTAGTCCATGTAGTACGGATGAAACCGTACCACGCCCGCGAGTTATGAACACTTCGAACTTTTTCCTTATTATCCACAACAGCGTGGGCTTTTTTTTTTTTGTTTACGAGATCTTTTTTTTTTTCATGGCCACCTCTAGCATCCCAGTGAATCGACTGGGACGGTCGCTCTTGAAAGGGGGGAATTGACGCAAGGTAGGCTGGCAACTATAGTAGCCAGCCTCTGAGGAGGACAACGAAGTAGTTCTGTGTGCGCGTGCTCTGGTGTTCGTGTTTCTGGCCCTTGGGGTCACGAAAGTAAACGCCCTGTTTTGTACCTGCGTACCTCTGTTTTTGTGACATTTTCAACACTCGCGATGTATTTTTACGGTTGCCGTGGGCGTCGGTGCCACCATGAACAACACCCAGCACATCTGTCGGAGAGCTCTGTTGAAGGCGTGCAATACGATACGATGCGGACTATCGCGACTTAAGTAAGCAGGAGGGAAACGCGCCTACCTTCTGCGTCGCTCGAAAGGCGCATAGAGGGGCCTAGGTGAGAGGGTTGCGTTGCGTCTAAAAAAACTTTGTACTGTGACCGGCAGGGAGTGGTTACATGTGGTCACGTTCTGCTGATGGCCGCAGGTTATGTGGTGTTATGCTGCTCATAGCTTTGTAGGCGTTGTATTCTCATTGCGAAGTTTGCTTTAAAGCCATATACAACACAAAAGTCACTTCACTTGCTGCAACAACCACGTTTACATACGACAGCGTTTTGTTGATTTACGCCAGGTGGCATGCTGAGGGAGTGATCTGCGAGCATTTCTTTGTACACCATTTCAATTTATTTGTATTGCATGTGTTTCTTCCCGCTTGCGGTGAAACTGCGACTATACTGAGTAGAGAGAGAGCGCGTGCATGTGTGTGCTCCTTAGCGCGACTGTTAGTTAAGACGTCTTCACCACGTTTCTGTAGCCTTTCCGAACGAGTTTTAAATGTGCCCTCTTTTTTTTCTCTCACTCACCACTTGCAGATTGTGAAGATGATGATCGTGGTTGTGGTAATCTTCGCCGTGTGCTGGCTACCATACCACGTGTACTTCCTGGCCACCCACCACCACCCGGA